AATAAGTCTTTGCATAATATTGTGACCTCCCATTCAGATGCAGACTACCTATCAGTAATTCACAAATTCAGAAGTCTAAGGATTAAATTCACTGTTTCTTCCTCACATAACTAAGTCATTATTGCATCCTAAATTTAGGTACAATCACAAGCCTGAGGAAGAAATAAAGTTGCCTTTAAGATTTTTTAATAATCAGGCAATATTTTGGCAAGTGTTGGGAACAACACTTAGTTTGATTATACTGCCCATCAAAGAATGAATAATCATAAATATTTTGCAGAAAAGGAAAGGAATTTTTCTTTATTTCCCAGATGCATAAAGCACAAATGTGATACACTTATTTAAAGATCAAAATGCTATAGGTGAATGTGAAAGTGTACTTTTGCATGAGAACAGACTACTTGCAACCTTTCTTAATATCTCAGGAAAAGACTTCTTGCCAGTTTTTATTTTCAGGAAGTACTTACATGGGGAGAAAAAAGGATCCTAGTAGCCTGGCTTTTCTCTCAAGTATGCAACTTAGTCTTTTCGGTGAAGCTACAATTAACTGCAGTAAGAACAGAATTAGCATTCACGTGAGGAAATGAAACTCCAGTTGGGACACAGTAATGGCTGTAGCACTGAGGAAACAGACAAATGCTTGGAATGTATGCATTCCTAAACCTGCTCGCAACAAAAGGCGTACATGAAGTGGCGATAGCTTCTAAATATTAGTTTGGCTGACTCTCTTAACTTTCCTTGCTAAATGACTGCAACATCTGCATGGGGGAAAATGAATATTTTTTAAAGAATTGCTTATTCTTTCAATTTTTAAAAGTTGAGGGGAATAAAATACTACCTTTTAAATATGCATAAGGCATCTTAATTGTAATTATATTTTCATTTGCTTTGTTACAATAGCATGCATATCAATTACAAAATGCAATGAAAACTTTTGTAAAAAATAAAAGATTTTTTTTTCATTTCTCATAGTTGCTTATAATTACTATTTCATGTGTTTATTTACCGTCCCCTGATGTCAGTGTATGTGGTAGTCACCATTTGCAGTGCATTCAGAAAACATTGTATTAAGCTGTTCTAGTCTGTGTCCCCATGCTCTCCGTCCTGGCCTCTCCATCTGTAGTAAGATCCCCCAGACTCCAAAGTGGCCGTGCTGAAACTCCTGCTATTAAGAGATGTGTCCTGGATTTAAATCACTTTTACCCTTAAAAGCTGGTGAAGTTTTTTTTTTTTTTAATCACAATGGCCCTTAAAAAAAAAGATTCATTTTTTTAAAAGATTTATTTTTATTATTATTTTTTTATTGGAAAGGCAGATATACAGAGAGGAGAGACAGAGAGGAAGATCTTCCGTCCATCGATTCACTCCCCAAGTGAGCGCAACGGCCGATACTATGCCAATCCGAAGCCAGGAGCCTCTTCCGGGTCTCCCATGCAGGTGCAGGGTCCCAAGGCCTTGGGCCGTCCTCAACTACTTTCCCAGGCCACAGGCAGGGAGCTGGAAGGGAAGCAGGGCTGCTGGGATAGAACCGGCGCCCATATGGGATCCCGGGCATGCAAGGCGAGGACCTTAACCACTGTGCCACCGCGCCGGGCTAAGATTCATTTATTTTAACTAGAAAGATTTACAGAGAGGAGAGACAGAGAGGAAGCTCTTCTGTCTGCTGGTTCACTCCCCAAGTGGACACAATGTCCAGGTCTGAGCTGATCAAAAGCCAGAAGCTTCTTCTGGGTCTCCCACACAGGTGCAGGGTCCCAAGGCTTTGGGTCATCCTCAACTGCTTTCCCAGGCCACAAGCAGGGAGGTGGATAGGAAATGGAGCAGCCAGGACACACACCTGTGCCCATATGGGACTCCAGGACATGCAAGGCAAAGAATTTAACCACTAGGCTACCATGCCAGGCCCCCCCATAATGGCCTTTAAAACAGTAGTTCCGTAATGTCTTTTAGTCCTTTGCAGATTTAATAGGTACCATCTCTTAAAAATCATGCCTTCTGGGCCTCGCGTGATAGCCTAATGGCTAAAGTCCTCACTTTGAATGTGCCAGGATCCCATATGTGCACCAGTTCTAATCCCGGCAGCCCTGCTTGTGGCCTTGGAAAGTAGTTGAGGATGGCCCAAAGCTTTGGGGATCCTGTACCCACGTGGGAGACACGGAAGAGCTCCTGGCTCCTGGCTTCAGATTGGCTCAGCTCCAGTCATTGTGGCCGCTTGGGGAGTGAACCATCAGACGGAAGATCTTTCTCTGTCTCTCCTCCTCTCTTTATATCTGCCTTTCCAATAAAAATAAATCTTTTTTAAAAAATCAAGTCATGCTGCTTTCCTGTTTAATATTCCTTCTTAGCAAGGTTCCCCATGGTTTCCTGCATAACATTGGAACTCCATGGTTCAATAGGACTAGCATCTCTTCTGTTTCCCGACAGAGTTTTGGCTCCAATCATACCAAACACCTTTGTATTGGCTAAAACTGTTACGCTTTCCTGAGTTGTAATGCCTTCACAGCTCCCCTTCCTAGAATGGCCCTTCCTTTAACACCCTCCCTCCCCATCAGATGACTCCATTCACATCTGAAAATTCAGCTTCAAGCATCTTGTCCTCTGAGAAGCTTCCTGCATGGTCGATTGGTTGATGGCTCTTCTGTCCCCATCCTCATTCAGACGGAGCTGCTTGAGGTTTTGGCCTCAGTGCTGGAGCAGTCCATAGATGTTCTAGAAATGTCTGTTGAAAAAGTCCCTCAGCCCCTTTTCATATGCTGCACAGCCCTAAAACTACAACACCCGAAAGAACAGCCATCCATCCCCAAGATGGATTCCGCTATTGTCGACTAAACAAAAAGCAGCCACCACCAGTTTTTCAGTTGGATGCCTGAAGCCTATGTGTTACAACACGAAGTTGCTCATGGGGTTACCGCAGAGAATGTCATTCAGAAAGGTTTCCTTTGGGCTTTACCGGGCCCCAAAGCCACAGACTGGCTGTTTTCCAAAATGTTTCCTTCAGAAATCTTTGCAATTTGTGATTTGTTTTTCCATAGAAAGGGACTGTTTGAAACCTAGTCAAATCCATCATCTGTTGAACTGTAACACTGGTGGCAGAGTTCTGGGTCAGGAGTGGGGGCAGTACAAGAGCCAGGAAGCACAACAGAAGAAATGTAGTGTAACACACATCATTGAATGTTTGTGCTGCTGTTTGTGTCCTTGACGATCCAATTAGGGAAGACAGAAAGATGACTGTGTTGAGAAATCGCTGCCCTTCACTGTTTCGTGAGGGTAAACTTCCTTCCTCTTTAGTACGCTTACTCAGCATGAAGTTTCAAACAGCCCAAGTCTCCCTCTAATCCCTACTCTCTTTGCCACCAAGGGCTTCGGGTTCCTCTCGTGGCTCTGTCTACGTCATTCTCATTTCTGAGCTAGGAGGGACAAGAACATGACAAGCACACTAGCCCATGCTGGAGAGCTATGCCAACTACTCCTGTCATCTGGGAATCCATAATCTGTGCAAACAGTATGAACATGATAGAAAAAAAAATGTCTTGGCTGGCATCTTCAGGAGCTGCCCCAGACCGTGGTTTACTCAGCCGCAAAAGGACACTTGGCTAAAGAGAAGTGCAAGTTTATGTCCTATTCTGAAATCCTTTACAGGAATCCCCATAAATCTTCCTTTGATGACATTCTGGGCCTGTAGTTCAGTACATAGCGAGATAGACTTCTCAGAAATGGGACCACAAAAGGTAAGTGAGCTTTTGGTTTAGACTATTTTCATTTTTTTTCCCACTGTTCTACTCCCAAGGCCAAGGTACCCAAGGTCCAGTCCTCTCAAAGGCCATTTAAGAATTTCAAGTTTTTTCACGGCAGCCTAGGAGAGGGGACCTGGCTTTTAAACTAAGGACTGCAAAGGCAGCAGTTTCTGGTTCACCTTTGCCTCTCCAGCATCCGCTATAATAGGGCCTAACACGTAGCAAGGAGCTCCACCAACACTGAATCCAGGACTCAAAACACTTTATTTCTAACCTGGGATGCAAGCCTACCTTTCGTTGTCCACAAATTCAGATTTTAGTGACCATGGATTGAGTCATAGTTATGCTATCTTTGTGTGCACATTTTAAATAAAACCCAAAAAACCTCAATGATTTTATCCACAGCATACACATAGTCACACACATTGGGATATCAGTTTTTCATAATTACTTCCATTTTTAATGTAAAATATGACTTTTTTTTTTTTAGAACAAGAGGTTGGTTATGAATTATGTGTGTGCTGTGTCTGTCAGAAGTAGCCAGAATGGTTCAACTTGGGTTGTGTGGAAAGAGAGAGGGGGGCCTTTTCTCTGTGCCTCCAACTGGCCGAGCTTAGAGTTGAGCCCCAGGTACCAGGAGGGGAGCTGCTGGGGCATCCTTGCCTTCCACTGCAAGAATACAGCAGATACCCATGAGTTGCCTTCCAGGTGCTGGAGGTAAATAAAGCCCTGGGAGCCTAGTACCTGCGAAGGCTTGGTCGGCAAACCGGGGCCCTGGAGCTGACACCAGTTCTTCAGATGGTCATTCCTTGACCCTTCCTTTATCCTCCGGCACTGGGTGAGGCTGGCTTCAGTGACTCCCCTTCTCTTTGGGCCCGGAGCCCCAAAACCCTAACAGAGGCGTCCTAACATACTGTTGATGAGGAGAGTGGCAGAGGCATCAGCAGCGGAGGACAAGCCCGCGTTCAGCAACAGACTGCACCTGAGCAGCCAGCCGGCGGCCACGTGGGTCGCACAGCGCCGCCAGGGGGCGGGGCCACTGCCGTGTTCCTCCATCTTCCCAGAACCCACCACGCGGGGCAAAAAGGCGGGAGCGAGGCTGACAGCTCTAGTCCACCAGCTGGGGGCTTCTTCACACAGTTCTTACCAGGCTGCTCTGCCGGCCGAGTCTGGACGCTGACCTTTTCCGTTACTGAAGAAGTTGACGAGCCAGGCCGTCGAGGCCCAGAGGCTTTCGAGGCTTGGGTGTGGGGTGGAGGGATGGCGATGTGGCCGCTGAGGGTCTATACTCGCAAGAAGCGGGCAGGCCAGAGGCTCAATGTAACCCCAGCACCATCGGACTTGGGCGCCCAGGCCAAGATGGAGGCCGCGCCTGGTCCTGACCCAGGGCTGACCGGCCGGCGTAAGCCACTCTGTGAGGGGGGAGCCGGTAGTGGACTGAGGGAGGTGGGAAGGGCGTCTGGGCCCAGGGACACCCCTGGCCGCCCGAGGCTGGGGACCCGGCCTCCAGGACCGAGGTCCTGACACCTGTCGCCCTCCCTCAGGCCTGAAGGGTAGGAGCAAAGCGCGTGGTTTGCAAAAGATCCCAGAGAGAGCCGAGAGGAGCCCCCCGGGAGGCAGCGGCTCAGGGCTGGCCAGGTGGGTAGCCGGACTCAAGCCCCAAAGCCTGGCTTCCTCAGAACCCCATCAGCCTGATTTTCTGTCAGGCTTTCCTCCTCCTGACAGTCGAGGACCAAGTAGGAGGAAAAGCTCCCAGAAGCATTTGCGCTGGGATCAGGGCGCTGGGCTCACTCGTTCACTCGGGTCGTCGGGGCGGAGGAGCGTGAGCGGAGGCGGGGGCGCTGGGTCCACAGGGTGCGGACTAACCGTGTTGTTCCTTAGCAGTCATTTAAGAGTGACAGGAGAGAAAAGCCTGCGAGAAAGCACCACCAGAGAGGAGGCACTGGCTGCCAAGACCACCGTGCCTGCGGTACGTACGTCACTCCCCTGCTCCTGGGTTCCTCTTGGCGTGGCCACTGGCAGAACCTGAAGGAATTACAGGCTCGCCGTTCAGTAGATCCTGCGTGGCTCTAGTGGCTTTTTAAATAAATAAGCGCTGGTACATTCATCGGGATGGGTATACCTTGAACAAGTATTAGAAATGTAGGTTACTACCTAACTTTCCTGCGAAAGTACTACTTAATCAGGAGTTATGTTTGGTAGTACTTATGCGTTTTTGTTTTTTTTTTTTTTTGCTTTGTTTTTAGTACTTTAGCGTTTTAAAGCCATTTTCACGTTTTCCCATTTGATTTTTCCATTCACTCGAAGCATGGAGGAAGAGCTCAGCACACTACAGGACATTCCAGTTTACTATGTTACTTCTTGATGTCCTGTGTCTAATAGTATGAATTTTGTAAGATATTTTGAAGCCGTGCAACAGTAACTTGGAGAAGCTCAGATGTTGAAAATTGTGACTCATCTGAGATGAGCATTAAACTTGATGGTCAAGGCCCATATTTTTAACTTGCATGTTCCCCAATAATATGTTTTTCTGAGTAGAGCAGTTTCAACACAAAGCGTTTTCCCATGTTTTACAGTGTGACGTATTCCTTGTAGATGGCTTATATTCTACAAAAAAATATTTAAAATGCTTATTCCGATTTTTGTACTTTTTCCTTTTTCTTTAAAAATGTTTTCCTTTAAAGTAGTTAGCAAATTATCTTACTGTATATTTCTTAATATTAGTCTTAAAAATACAATTTTGAGTGTTCTCATAATATTTTGTATTATAGATAGGTGTAGTATAATTTCAAAAACTATTTTTTAGTAATTGGGAACTTCATATTGTTTCTTAGTTTTTGCTGTTGTTGATATTGATAAAGATGGTGTTACAAAGGGATTTTTTGGGGTGTGTGTGTGCCACAGCTTGTTATCCTAAGGTAAATACAGTGGGCCAAAGGTTGACTCTACACATTTTTTTTAGTGCATGATGGCAAAGTAACACCATCTTACCTGAGGCAGAGACATATGGATGCGTCTACTGCGAAGGAGCGTGTTGTTTTGCTTTCCATTCCTTGAGGCTAGGGAAGTCATTGCTGCTTTTCCCTCAAATTATTGGCCATTTGTGTTTCCTTTTATGAAATGCCTATTCACTATACTAGCTTTTTTTTAGTCATAGTATCTTAATATTTATTTTATATTTAATATTAAATATTATTTTATGTTTAAATAATAAACTGAAAAATCTGTTATATGTATAAAATCAGTACTCAAGGTAGACATTAGTTTATTTTCAAAATAGCCACATCAAAGTGATATAACAATGTTTAATCTCATCATCTGTGCCATCTGTTTGACTCTTCTTCCACATAGGAGTCAGCAATCGAGGACCTCCAAGTTGATACTAGTTCATCAGACAGTGAACTATTATCAGGTAAGACTGTCACATGGGACCTCTGTCAGCTTACTGTCCTTTCTCCAAAATAAACTTGAATTTGTGTTCTTTCCCTTGAATGTAATTTAGGGTTTTTTTAGAGGGAGTGAGGAAAATTTTCAAGAGAGAATGAGAACTGAGATCTGAAGATTAGAAATTTAACTATGCCAACAGAGAAGAGGAAGAAATGGGCAGAGGGTAAAACGTGTGCAAAGGCCCTAACAGAAGACCGAGTATTGTGGTCCCATGAATCAGAAGGCCAGGATGACTGGATTACAGAATGTATTGTAATTGTAATACAAGATTGGGTGGCCTGTTAAAGGTGTTGCAGATCATGTCAGAGGTAGTGATCTTTGGAGCTGTAGGAAGTCACTGATATCTTCTAAAAAAGGAATGATAGGACCTCTTTAGCTATAGCATGGGAAAAGACGGGAAAGAAGCAGGAGGGGATGCAAATAGACCAGCTAGGAGACCATAGGTTACGGGAAAAATAATGGCACCTTGCCCTGATGTGGCTACATTTAAAGTTGAAAGAAAAAGGCAGACCTAATGGGTGTTTTAAGTAGTAAAGCTGACAGGATATGGTAAAGGAAGAATAAAGGAATTGAAAATGTCAAGGATGATTCTGTTTCTTCTTCATTCACTGAAAAAAATCTTGTTTGAAGGGAACATCATGGATTCAAGTTTTAATATTAAGTTCTAAGTGCTTTTAAAATGTTTAAGTAATGTTGTCAGATGGGTAGCTGGATGTGGAAGACTGGAGATAGAAATTAGTCAGCCATTTACTATTGGTATAATTGAGGTCCTTTTTGAAGACAACAAAAATGATGTTATCGGTGCTTTGAAAATACAGAGGACTTCTTAAAAGCAGATAAGATCAGATGGCTGAGTATACCAAGAGTAGAGAAAAACCACAGCAGAGGTAAAAGCGGCTTTAGAGATACTCTAAACGGGTGAGTGAACAAATGCAAAAACCTGAAACAGAGTAGAAGCAGTCCTGTGGGATCGCCCACGTGATGGATTAAGAACTACGCTTGAAATACCTGGTCCATTTCTTCTCATCTTGAAAATGCTAGTAGCTACTAATGCATGTTGCCAGGATAAAGCTACTCCCAACATTGAGATCCATTGAGGGGTGTCTCCTACGGGACATGATTGGGGTTGGATTGAGAAGCAGAGGAAGAATCTTGACTCCAGGTTGCGATAAGGATAGCAGAGGGAGTAAAAAGGTCAAAGCAGCAGCCAACTGGTAGGTTTGATAGCTCCAGCATAAGGATGTGGTGCGGCTCTGCGCAGTGGGGATTGATTCAGGAGGCTTCCGGTGGGGAAATTAGTCAGTCATGCTATTAGGATGTTGCCTCTGTGTAACCCACAGTCCTGAGTAAACGGAGGACATCCCCATCAGGAACAAAATTCCCAGAATGTCTCCTCATCACTTTTCTGAAATCTCCAAAAGCAGGTTATTTTTTCAGAATTTATGCCCATTATAGAAAATGCTTTCTGCTTTTTTAAAATAAAAATAAAGGAGCTATTTAATTAATTATTTTTAGAAGATAGAGCTGGAGAAAGGGAAAGACAGAGAGAAATCTTTCATCTGCTGATTAACTCCCCACATAGACACAAACGCCAGGGCTAGGCTAGGCTGAAGCCAGGAGCCTGGAGTTTCTTCTGGGTCTCCCATGTGAGTATAGGAATCTAAATACTTGGGTCACCTTCATCTTTTGCAGGCACATTAGCAGGGCACTAAATCAAAAGTAGAACAGCTAGGACATGAACTGGTGCCTGTATAGGATGTTGGCATCACAGTCAGGGGCTTCACCCTCTAGACCACAATGCTGGACACTACACTACTCACTTTAAAGCAGCGATTCTCAAACAGACAGGAATAAGGCAACCATTTGAGCAACGAACCATTTGAAGAGAACCAATGCCATGGAAAAGCGGCAACAAATGCAGCAATCAGAACTAAATCTGAGACAATAACAACAACAACAAAAATTTATGTCCTTAAGAACAAGAAATCATTGAATCCATATTATAGCACATTGCTATAAAAATAATTATATTTCCTGCAAGTTAAAAATGACAGGTTAGAGGTTAGACATTTGGCCTAGCCACTGAGGCTCCCACATCCCGTATCAGAGCACATGGCTTTAACACTTGGCTCTGCTTCTGACTCTAGCTTCCTGCTAATACAGACCCTGGCTCAGGTATTGGGTTCCCTTCTCGTGCATGTGAGACCTGGATTGCATTTCTGGCTCCTGGCTTCATCCCTAGCCAGAAACACAATATGCCATCTGAGTATTAAGCCTGTGGTTTCAACTCTTCTGTCTGTCTCCATTTCTTAAATGAATGAATGAATAAATATTTCAAGAATCACATTTTTAAAAAATGAATCTGATAGCAGAATAAATTCAGCTAAACATCAGATCCAGAAAATAGACTAGAAGGATATTTTCTTGAATATGATGTACAATAACATACAAAGAGCTTGATAAATGCTTTTCTTTCCTTCCTATCCCTTTTTTGCTTGTTTAGAAACCATTTCTGCTTAGAAACTTTTTCTCTCATCTCTCTTTAAATGACTTACTCTATCCTGGTAGTTCTGTGGCATTCTGTGTACTTTTATCATAGGACTGAAAACCACAGTGTAATTCTATTTATTTCTCTTTCTCTTGGTGCTAAAGTCACTGGGAGTCAGCTGTATCTTTTATCTCCCTGTCCTCTGCTTAGAGCACAGTACAGCTGCAAATGCTTGTTGAACGGGGCTTGTGCTCTGTCTAGAGAAAAATGAACCATTTAATAGGTAGTATTTTTTTTAATTTTTAGTTTTGAAATTTATTGTACAGTTATGTATAGTCTGGGATTCCCCTCCCCCCTGTTTCCCTCCCCCAATTGATTTTTCCCATAATGTCACAACTCTTCATAAGGAGTTACAATTCCGTCAGTCAAGCAATATTTTCTAAAGCAGTTTTTAAAAAATATTTGAGAAATGTTCTTGGTTAGTACAATTTTCAAGTTGGTATGTGACTTATGTTTGAAATGTAGAATGTGTTTTCTCATAATAAAATGTTGTAAATGGTTAAATTTTAAGTGGCTACCAAAATTCTATTTATGTAACTATTTTAATACTGTCCCAGTATCTAGTAATTTTCTAACATGTTAAAAATTAATTTAGGACTTAACATTTAATGTACAAGATTGAATATATACATTCTTCTCCTTCTGAAACCCCATTGAAGTACCAATTAAAGCATAAAAAACGGTGTGAAGCCACAGGAAGAGGAGAGGATAGTTCATCTGTAAGAGATAACCCATAAAATCTGAGAACCTGGAAGGTAGAAGAATGAATTGTAATTGACTTATGTAGGGAAAGGAGAATGCTGGAAGCTAGGTTCCCACAGTAACAACAGACCAAGAAATAAACTGGCTCAGGCTATAGTTTCAGGAACCAGAAGTACCATCCATTTCTGAAGGAAAGGGTAGAGAATTAAAAATAGGAATTTTAGGCACCTTGAAAAGTTGCAAATATGCACTTTGATTTTTTTTTTCTGCTACCCTGTGGCCAGGCAGCTACCCCCTAGCAGTCCATAAACACTGAAGCAGAGGGACTGGACTCAGGTTCCAGGTGCTGCCCAGGGCAGGTGTGCTGTGCTGAGTACTAGCAGTGGGAGTCGGGAGGAGGAAATGGAAGTCAAGTCATCAAAGCCCCTAGGCCCCTGACCCCCGTCAAGCAAATAACACTAGTCCAGAGTTAGGAAAACTCTTCTTTTGTAATCTTCTTTGCCCCAGGGAGAAGAGCTATATTCTGACATTAATGACCCAATTTTGGTCCAAATATCTTACAGTGAAGCCTGCCTCTTCCTAAGCCTCAGTCATGAGAAAACCCCTGCAAGTCCCTCAGTTTTGAACATTTAAGAATTACCTGACATGTGATGAGAGCATTTACAATGAGAAGTAGACACCAAATGAGAAAGTTGAAGCATGCAGATAATACAACAAAAATAATTTTTAATTTTAAAATATATTTAAGAAGCAGGGAGTAAAAGAAAGGGAGAAGGAGGCAGAAACAAGTGACAGAAATAGAACCAGGCAGAGCTAATTCCCTTCCTGAATGCATGCAACAACTGGGCCTGGGCCAAGCTCAAGCTTGGAAATGTGAATTCAAACCACGTCTCCCGTGTGAATAGCAAGGACCCAGTGGCTTGAAATATCTACTTTCCATCGCATGTATTGTCAGGAGGCTGAAGCTGAGTGTTTTTAAGGGTTTTGTTTATTTTGTAAAAACAATGAAAGGCAAAGAGAGAATCTTCTATCTACTGGTTCACCCCCCTTATGACTGTAATAGGCAGGGCTGGGCCAGGCCAAAGCCATCAGGTGTCCTGTGTGGGTGGCAGGAGCACAGCTACTTGGGCCACCTCTTCCCAAGTATATCTGCAGGGAGTTGGATTGGAACTGCGCGAGGTATTGAGATTTAGGTTTCTTAACTTTTAGGCCAAATGTGTGCCCCAGGTAAATCTTCTGATAGCTTTAGATTAATTAATATCCTGAGTGGTTAAAACAAACAATGTGTTCATAAAATAAGTGCATATTACTATTCAACTGAAAAAAAAAAACAGAATGAAAAAATCCCCTCCCCCCGAAAAAAACACATGGAATCAAAAGTAAAATAGTCCATACACTTGGATGACTAAATTAGTTATTCCAGAAAGTTAAGTAATAGATTAAAAATAGGTAACAATGGTAATACAGCTCAGTATAGAAGAACAACACTGATGTATGCTTTAAAAGATGCTTTATCAAATGTGAATTCCATCTCAATAAAGCTGTTATTTTAAAAAGAATAATAGAGGACAAATCCAAGAAATATAACATGAAAACTAGTAGTGCCAGACATTATAAACAGAGAGGAATTTATTAAGCACAAAACTATTAAAATTTATAGCATTAAAAGTAATTGTACATATTCAGAGTTTCATATTCCGAAAAATACGTATATGTGGAAATTGAAGTTTACATGGTACAAACTAATTGTAACCATTATAATGAGTGAATTACAAAAACCAGAACAAAATACACTGTATAATTTTAAAATACTAAGGTGGCCAATGTTTGGTCTAGTGGTTAAGATGTCCACATTGCACACCAGAGTGCCTGGGTGTGAGTCACAGCTTGGGATCCTGACTCCAGCTTCATGCTGATGCAGACCCTTGAAAGACGCAAGTGATGACACAAGCAATTGGATTCCTGCTACCCACGTGGGAGGCCTAGGCTGAGTTCCTGGATCCTGGCTTTAGTGCTTATTGTTGCAAACATTTCGGAAGTGTAGCAGAATGGGAAGGCTGTCTCTCTCTCTCAAATTAAAAAGAAGAAGAATCTTAGTCTTCCATAGAGAAGAATGATTCCAAATAAACAGTCTAAAATACGAATAACATTGGACTTCAGGAAGCTAGAATGTGGTAGAAAATGAATTTAAATTATGAAAAGAACTGATATTATACAGTTACAGAGGCATAACTAATCCTGAACCAAAATTTGACTTGAATTTCAACACACTAAGCATAGAAAGATTTATTACCTAGAACGAGGATTTCTGGATTAAAACAGCAAAAACAACTCTCAAATATGACTGAAGGTGTTTTGAGAGTTGGAAAAGGAGACTGACTTTGGATTTGTATGGGTGTGAGAGGGCAGGACAGGAATGGACATGCCACCAGGTACAATTAGAACTTGCCAATATTATCAAGAAGATGAAGCACCAGAGATTTCTTGTCCAGATGTGTGAAAGAAGAAAAAGAGCAGTGAGGTTTTGAAAGGTATCACATAAGAAACTGGGAGCCGCCTCTTGATTGTAAGAGTGAGGAATGCTAGGGGTCCAATGCATTAGCCTAGTGCCTAAATCCTTGATTCACATCCACTGGGATCCTATATGGGCTCCAGTTTGTGTTCCTGCAATTCCCATCCAGCCTCCTGCTTGTGGCCTGGGCAAGCAGTAAAGGATGGCCCAAAGCCTTGGGACCCTACACCTAGCGGGAAACCCAGAAGAAACTCTGCTTCTGACTTTGCCTTGAGCTCAACCCTGGCTATTGTGGCCTCTTGGGAGTGAACCAGAAGACATGAGACTTTATTCTCTGTATCTCTTTCTCTCTGTATATCTGCCTTTTAAATAAAAAATATATATATATACAATTCTTAAAAAAAGAGAGAGAGAAGAATTCTATACCCAGCTAAACTGTTACTCATATGTGACTAGGGTTTTTGGACAGCTCTGCCACAACCCTTCCTCAGGTGAATATGGAAGCAATTTTAAACTCTTAACATACTCATACAACTGCATGTATATTTATGGAAGTTTGAATTATAAGAATTTCAAGTCTACTTGCTATTGAAATGTTTTATTGTTTTGTCTTTTTAATTTACAGGATTAAGTTTACAGCATGATGGTTCCAGCTCTCTCCCGAGCTGTTCAGTCACTGACTCTTACATGGGATGTAAGAGCTTCGAACAGAGTCTGAGTAGTGTCTCATCACCTGAACTGTTCAGAGGATCAGATTTAGGTGAGAAAACACTTTGCATCTTAAATGGTTTCACTGGAGAAAACTTGTCTACAAGTTCCCTGATAAATGGATGTTTCTTTTGAGGAAACCACATCACAAGAGCTGCCTACCTGTAGCAGACACAAATGACCCATATTAGTCACATAGGCCTTGCAGCACACGCACTCTCAGGGCGAAAGGTTATTCCTTGCTCAGGTGTTACATACAGGTGATATTTAATCAGTTTTACACAGAATTGCATATTTGTTCTCTTGAACTCCGGCAGAAGTGAATACATGACTTCCTCTGCAACTTTTTGCAATGGCAGAAAGTTTTGTTTTCTGATTTTCTGTCTAAAGCTATAAACTCATAAGGACGAGAACCAGAAAGGGAAAAGCATAAAGTTTGGAAAGCTAGAGAGCAGATTAAAACAGGACATGCCTGAGAATTTTGAGTTCTTACACAGTTTGAATATTCTAGAAACAGGCTAGTTTGCATTGCAGTTTCCAAGAAAAGCTCACAATTTGGTTGTATTAAGACTTATGAAAAGATAGGTCAAGTAGGTCCCTCACCCCTGGGTGCTGAACCCATCTAATAGCGAGGAGCAATCCCCTGCAGACACAGGAGGAAAAAAAAATCTTGAAGCATTTGTTTCGGCCACCTTCTTCCATACTTGGGCCTCTCTATTTTAATCAGAGGACCACACGAGCTTGCATCCCTCTCTACTATGTAAACAATATTAAAAAGGAAATTAAAAAGTTTTTATAAATTAAAATAAAAATTGATACCTCTGTACTCCTCCCCCCTCCGCCACATATACACAAAGCTAGGTCGAAACATGGAAGATACAGCAACTGATCTTAACACAGTCAAAGGCAACCTGAAGGTGTATTCTTCGGTATATTGTGAAGCAGAGGGACTCTTGACAAGAAAATATTAGGTACTGCAAATAGCAGGGTTTTGTGTGATTTTAAAATCTTGGCCCCAATTTTAATTCTCTTATAGCACTAGTATATGTTTGCACACCGTTCAACAGCCTTGTGTAGGTGGAGTATAATTTTCCACTCTTGGTTTTGGAATTAGCCATATGCTTGTTTTTGGATGATGGGATTTCAGTGAACCAGACTGAAGAAACGTTTGTATTTGTCCTTTTATACCTCTGCTGTCATCATCCTGATTAGCTGTGGCTCACCTGTGAACCCCACAATGAAAGGTCAAGAGCATGGCAGCCACAGCCGGCCCACAGGCTGCTGAACCGTAGTTTGCGATGAGGCATCCCTGAGCTAGGGGGCAAAGGTAACCTGTCACATAAAGGATGTGGTTCAAAATCCATTTCTTTCCTGTATTTTCCAGTGTGGGAGTGCCCCAAGATGGAAGAGTACATGGTGTGCAAGAATTCCACTCTCCTGGAGACCAGTCATGCAGTAGCAGTGGAGAAGCTGCCATACTTCTCAGACCTCTCCGCCATTTTGGGTGAGTCGTCGCACTCATGTCTTCTTCATGTCATGAGGAAAAAAATCATTCATCTGCATTTGAAAAATAAGATATTCTTTTTCTCTTGAATTATTTCCAAACTAGTTCTGTCAATTGAGATTGCCTTTTGTCTATAAATAATATTGAACAAGTAGTTTAAATACATATAGATTTGTTTTTCTGTAACTTTATTTTGAGCTAGCCTTAAATTTATAGGAAAGTCACAGGGGCAGGTATTTGGACTTAGTGGTTTTGATACCAGTGAAGACGCCCGTGTCACATGGGGCTGGCTTCGTGCCATGGTGGGCAGTCACCGGTTACTTGGGCCATAGTTGCTGCTGCTCCTAGAGGTCGGTATTAGAAGATGAAGTGTGATGCTGGAGTCAGATATTGAACCCGGGGACTCTGGAGTGGGATGCAGGGACCACAACTGCTAAACTCATTTTTCACTCTGTTTTCTATTAACTTTTTAAAGTGTCCCTATTCATAGAGTGGTTTCAGAATTATTAACCCAGTCTCCTGAAAAAGGCACATTTGTAATATAGATTGTAATATTGCATGCATGCCTCTTTTTTTGTGTGTTAACAGTGTCCACTCAAAATGCTATTTCGGAAAGTTACATAGATTAGTTTTATTTTCTTACTTCCTTTGGTGTAAGAAAAATATTGCTCACCTGTTATATAATTAGATTCATTTGTTATTGTTGGATCCATCTTGAGTTTTCCTGTGCTGTTTAATTTCATTTATTGAGAGGGCATATATAACTATGTGACATCTTACTATGGTTCTACATGAAAGATGTTCTCAGAAAATTGTCTCTTCATCCTCATACCATCCTATCTTCTTCTTTTGATCCGTTTTCTACCTTTTCTGTGAAGGGAACAGTCTCTTTGGTTTTTGTATGTTTTTGTACAATTTTTTTCTGTGTTTCTTTCTTGCAGATAAATGAAACACTTCTGCTCTCTTCTGTTTTCCTATTTGTTATATGGAGGACAGTGCCCTTTTTGACTTTGCTTTTTCCACTTAGTTAAGTGTATCCTACATCCCAGTGCTGCTTATGGGTTTATGGAGAACTCCCTCACACAGACACACAGATACACACACACACACACACACACACATACACATACATTTTTTTTACAGCTTCATGATACTCTACTCAACAAATGTACCTTTGTCTTACACACTACTTTCCTGTGTCTTGGGTATTTAGGTTATTCCTAAATATTTTGTCACTTCAAATAACACCGTAGTGAATAAACTCAAGATACATATTTTCATCCTACTGGCCATGTTACTTCAAGTTAGAGTCCTAGAAATTGGATGACTAATCAAAAGATATGTGAACGTCTAGTTCTGTCAGGTGTTGCTAGATTTTCCTCCAGAAGGATTTGGATAAACGTTTGCAATCCCGCTAGTGGAGGACAGAAGTATTTATCTCCTCATATCCTTGCCAACAGAATGTACTGTCTTATTTTAAAACTTTTGCTATTGTAGTTATAAAGAAATGTCATGTCTGTTATTTTATTCCCCTAATTTTAGATTAATTTAAACATTGCTTATATGCTAGAGGGGCATTTTCTTGTTTATTTTTTGTGTGGGTTTTCTGTTCATTCCTTTCTGCTGTTTTATCACTTAAAATAAATATTTTAAAGACTTATCCATTTAAAAGCCAGAGTGGCAGAGAGAAGGGGAGATTCAGAGACAGAAATTGCCCATCCATTGGTCTCCTACCCCAATGGCTGCAAGAACCATGACTGGATCTGCTGAAGCCAGCAGGTAGAATCCAGGAATTCCAACCAGGTCTTCTGCATACAGAGGCCCAAGTATCTGGGCCATCATCTGCTACCTTCCCAGGAACATTGTCAGGAAGCTGGATCAGAAGCCAAGTAGCTGGGACTCAAACTAGCACTCTGATAATGAGATAGCAGTGTCCCAAGCAATGGCTTAGCCATTATGCCAGCCCCTATCCTCAATTTTTAGGAGTTACTTGTATGTTAATAATATTAACATTTTTGTGTTAAATAATAAAATATGTTAAAAGTATTGTGTATATATATTTTTCCTCCAGGTTAGTTGGTTTTATTTGTAGTGTTTTTGAATTTTTTTGTTTATATATAGGGGTTTATTTTTTTTCCCATACCAGTCCGCAGCTAGTGTAGAATCTCATTAATATCTTCAGGATCCTACACTGTTTATGTGTTTCTGGTTGCGAAGTGTGTTGGCTTATTATCCTTGAGTTGTAGGTTGATTACTGCTAAATCTCTAAGCATCATGGCCATGTTCTTAGAAAAAAGAATGTGGAAGGTCAATAGTAACCACTTATGTTTCCTTTTATCAGAAGAGCAATAGCTTTCCCAGAAGTTCTCTAGCAGATCTCTATTTAAGTCTATTGGCCAGAACTGGGTCATATTCATATCTACCACCAGGGAGGAAGAGGAACATAGTATTCTGCTTTCCTAGCATTTATCAGGGTAGAAGGCCAGGGAAAAAGAGAATTGGGGTAGAAGTGGATGTTATTAGCCTCTCTGTTACAGCCTTCTTTGTTAGATCTAAGATACAGGTCCACAGAAGGTGCAAAAACAGTGGATCAAGATAGAAAAGACTTTCATTGTAGAAAAGACAACATAGCAAGGTAGGATGTTAGCCCACCTGGGCAGCAGGTGGGAAGTCTGGAATAAGGTTCATTCTCTGCAGCCCTAAACCCCAACCCCAAGTTGTGGGCAGTTGTCTGTTTTATACTGAGGGAGAGCCACGCATTCATGCAGAGACCCATATGTCCACCACAATAAAGTGGGCCTGGATGAGAAAAAGCTCCCTTGCAGTTGTTTGTAACAGATACAAGAATGTCCACTGAAAGGTCTTTCGGACAGTGTCTGAGGCAAAGAAGTGTAGAAGTCAGAGTCAGCTGGGCAGAATCTCAGGCAATGATTACCACAGTGTTATCTCCCATTTTGTTTGCACCCAGTTTTACCAGTACAGAGTTAGCCATCTATATCCCAACAGCCTGGCAAATCTAACATCCACTAAGTAGGGCAAGTATCAAGTACAGCATTAAATATTGAATCGGATCCTTATGGGAAAATTGACAGCTATCTGAATGGTAATGTTCGTAGCAGTGTTTGGAAGCCTTGTCTTCAATGTTATGCTCAATTTGGGAGTTTTTTGTTTTAACTTTTACCTGAAAATTCTAACAGTAAGATATATATATATATATACATATATATAACACAACATGATCCAGGGTTTCAAATGATGTCAGAAGAACTCTATACCTCTCCATATCCCGGCTCAGGATCCATTTATATAGTTAAAACTTTCAGGCATGTCCTTTTATAATGCAGATTGTTCTGTCACAATTTCAAATCCAATATGAAAATTGTCTCTATTTTCCAGCTATTTGAATAGAACAGAACCTTTCTTGTTGGCTTCAGTTAGTTTGTATACCAGTCAAGCTTGGGAGACTGCAGGACTTTCACTGTGTTGAATTATAGGCCAGGCCTGGATCATCATGAAAAGTATCAGAGTATTAGCAAAAACAAAGTGAATGCTAGATGGTGTCCACTGCAATCCTGTATGCTTCAGAACTTTGCTCTCAAGAAAATGCTTAGAAGGCTCTTAATCTCTGCTTTATGTTGGATAGTTAAATTTAAGTCATAAAATAGTGCAGCTCTTAGAAGACTAATCTCATACATTTTTTATATTCTTAGTAATATCCTAGTGTGCCTGGGGTAGTAAAATATTGCCTTGGAGACATTCTCTTGACTAATAAGTCTACCAGTATGTATGTCTAGATATTAAACATCAAACTGAGAAGCACGAGGCCCAAGTTTAAGTTCCAAGTACCCAACAATTAGTTTTTAATTTGATCAATTAAATTTTATTTATATTTAGAATATGGATAATAAATTGGTAGATTTTCGTGACTTGCGTTGTGATGCAATGGCTTAAGCCATTACTTGCAACACTGACATGCTTTATTGGAATGTTGCTGGCTGTTCTGCCTCTGGTCCAACTCTCTGCTCATATACATGGGAAAGTAAGGCAAGTCGGCTCAAGCACTTGTGCTTCTGGTTTCAGCCTGAGTCATGGCCATTGAGCCAATTTTGGGGAGTGAAGTAACAAATGAAAGATCTCCCTCTGTCTTTGAAACAAATAAATAGATACATTTTAAAAAATTAATGTATTTGAAAAGATAGTTGTAGGAGTCAGTGTTGTAGTAGATAATATTTCAAAATTGTAAACTGTATGAGGTGATAGATTGTTCTGTCATATACTTTCACAGCATTTTTTGTTTTACTTTGATATCTCACAAAATACTTTTGCCTAATTTAAGGGGAAGACATAAAACAATAAAATTATAAAAATAAAATGCATTGCAACCATATATCTTAGAAAATATATATATATATATTTTTAACCTAATTTTAGTCTCTAGTTTATCTGTGGGTTACAGGTTGTTTTTTCCCCTTAGGAACTTCTTCAGAAGACTATCAGAAGTGCTGTGGGAAAAAGTAAGGATTAAAAATTTTAGATTTGGTATGCTTTTGAAAACCTTGTACTCTAATAGTTATATCACAAGTATATAGTTGTCTACAGACTCATTTAGCATTCCTTAGGGATTCATTATGCCTCAGGACTGTTATTCATGACAAAATCTATTAAAAATAAAATCTCTGCCCTAATTGAATCTACATTCTAGTGTAAGAAAATGGAGAAAATGAACAATAAATAAGTAAGTGGACTTATGCTCTGACAGTAATGAATGTTACAGAGAAAAAGACAAGGCTAGGGAGCAATGGGATGGAGGTTACAGGGCTCAGTGACGCGGAGAGCAGCAGGTGGCCCAGCCCTCTAAGGCGCTGTAGGACAATGTAGGCCTGTTGGGAAGCTTTGAAGAATTACATGATGTTACTTACATGTTAGAGGGGTCACCCTCACTGATGCGATGAGAACAAACTGTTGGGAGACAAGGAATGGGGGAAATTATAGTTAGGAGGCTGTTCTCCTAAGCCAAGCAAGAGGGCCTGGTTATACACCAGAAAAAATCAGAGTTGTGGTAGTAAGTGTGGTCAGATTTTGGAATATATATTTATTTTAAGATTTATATATTTTTATTGGAAAGGCAGATATACAGAGAGGAGGAAAAAAAGAGAGGAAGATCTTCTGTCCGATGATTCACTCCCCAAGTGTCCGCAACAGCCAGTGCTGAGCCATCTGAAGTCAGGAGCCAGGAGCTTCTTCTGGGTCTTGCACGTGGGTGCAGGGTCCTCGATTGTTTTCCCAGGCCCCAAGCAGGGAGCTGGATGGGAAGTGGAGCTGCCGGGATTAGAACCGGTGTCCATATGGGATCCCAGCACATTCAAGGCGAGGACTTTAACCACTATGCTATTGCGCTGGGCCCAGATTTTGGAATATATTAAGAGCAGATTAACCAGATGTGTTGATAGAGTGAGTGGTGCAACATAATGTGAGATAAAATAGGTGAAGTTGACTCCACAGTTTTGACTCAATAGCATATGTATGTGGTAACATTTTAAAAATTCTTCTGGCATATTTTTGAGCTTATATGAATTGTTTGGCTTGAGCTGAATTTGTGTATCTATACTTCACTTTGTCAAGCATTTACAATTTACATTATGGTGCCAGTATTATTGTCACAGTGGGTTAGATTGCTGCATGTGGGGCTCTGCGTGGTAGCCTAGTGGCTAAAGTCTTTGCCTTGCATCCGCCAGAATCCCAAATGGGTGCTGGCTCATGTCCCGGCTGCTCTACTTCCCATCTAGCTCCCTGCTCGTGGCCTGGGAAAGCAGCAGAGGACGGCCCAAAGCCTTGGGATTTTGCCCCCATGTGGGAGACCTGGAAGAAGCTCCAGGCTTCTAGTTTTGGATTGGTTCAGCTTGGTCTGTTGCAGCTACTTGGGAAGTGAGCGAGCAGACACAAGATCTTTCTCTCTGTCTCTGCTTGTGATTCCAGCATGGCATATCAGAGTGCCAGTCTAGGCTGCTCTGTTTCTAGTGCAGATTCTTGCTCTGTGCATGGGGAAGTGGCAGAAGATGCCATAAGTACTTGGTCCCTGGCACCCCTGTGGGAGCATGGATGGAGTCTTAGGCTCCTGTCTTCAGCCTGGCCCAGTTGTGGCTATTATGCTTTTTTGAGGTTCAGATATAAGATATCCTTTTCTCTCTCTCTCTGCATTCTTTCTTTAAAATAAATAAACATTACAAAATTTAAATTTACATTGGCGGGCCCGGCGCGGTGGCGCAAGTGGTTAAAGGTCCTCGCCTAGCACACCCGGGATCCCATATGGGCGCCGGTTCTAATCCCGGCAGCCCCGCTTCCCTTCCAGCTCCCTGCCTGTGGCCTGGGAAGGCAGTCGAGGACGACCCAAAGCTTTGGGAATCTGCACCCTGTGGGAGACCCGGAAGAGGCTCCTGGCTTCGGATCGGCATAGTATCGGCCCGTTGTGCTCACTTGGGGAGTGAATCATCAGACGAAAGATCTTCCTCTCTGTCTCTCCTCTCTGTATATCCGCCTTTCCAATGAAAAAATAATAAAAATAAATCTTAAAAAAAAAAAATTTACATTGGCTTTTAGTGAACACTATTGCAACTTTGGACATTGAACTGGTTTTAAAAGTTTCTTTAAATTTTTAATAGCGTGCTTATTTGAAAGAATGACAGCGATAAACATGGAGACAGGTAGATCATCGGCTCACTGGTTCATTTCTGCAGTGTTCCAACAGGTGGGGGCGGACCAGGCTGAAGCCAGGACCCTAGAACTTGTTTTGGCCTCCGTGTGAATGTCAGGGACCCACGTATTTGAACCCTATGATTTCTCTAAGGGTTCATAATAGCAGAAAAGTGGGATTGGAAGAACTAAGACTTGATCCAGCCAGCCAGGGTGGGAGGCAAGCGTTCCAAGCAGCAGCTTTGTGGCAGTGCCAGATGCCTACTGCTCATCTCTGATTTTAAAAGTTCCAATCTTGCTCTGTTCTTACTCAGTTTCCTGCAAGTGTTGCTTCATGCAGTTATATAACATTGACATTTTATTCTGGTCTCAGCACAGTTACCAAGCTGTTCTCTCTTTGTCTGAGTAAGATGACTGAAAGGCATATTTCTTTTATTTTAAACTCATATCCCAATGAAATATAGTATTATGAGGAAAATAATGAATACCTGTGGATTAAAATGATTGTATTATATTAACAAATTGAATTAAGCTCCTGATCTAACTTTTTTCTGTTGTGTAGTGTGAAAAAAAACTCTGCTCATTGTGATGATTTGCAATGAGTTGTGTCCCCTTTGTAGTATTCAGTATTGCACAAAGAGTTTCCACAAAATATGACTCGATTTTTCTTTAACCCAGAGCAGACTGACCTCTCCACGGCACTTGGGACCAATAGCTATGTTTTATTCATATAATTGTCTTCCAAATACTGTATCAGTATCAGTTAAAATGTTTTCAAGCAACCTTTTATCATTCCATTTTGAAACAAATGTTTCCCATATCTTTTGCTTCTGTCCCTCTTCCCTCCTGCCCACCTTATCCATGTATTTGTAGAAGAATGAGAATCATGTAACTGGGCCACGTGGACTGCTTGGGTGGGGTAAGAGGGACAGGGCCTAAGTTCGGGGAGGTGGCCAGTGTCCTGGTGTGAATGGCTTTGAGGGCTGATGAATTCAGCTTGTGCTGTATGTGATTAGAGCTTGGCACGATGGCTTGATGGTTAAATTTTTACCTTACAAGTGCCAGGATCCCATACGGACACCCATTCATGTCCTGCCTGCTCTACTTGTCATTCAACTCCCTGCTCATGGACTGGGAGAACAATGGAGGATGGACCAGAGCCTTGGGACCCAGCACACCTGGAAGAAGCTCCTGGCTTCAGATTGGCTCAGCTCCGGCCATTGCAGCCACCATGGGGATGAATCAGCAGATGAAAGATCTTTCTTTCTTTCTGTCTCTCTCTCCATAAAACTGATATGCCTTTTAAATAAAAATAAATAAAAATGGAAAAAAAGACCTCAACCTTGAAAGAGTTTGAAGGAGCTTACAGAAAAGTTATGCAAGTTCACAAACAGGAAATACCGTAAAAGATGAAAACACAACCCATGTGATAGGAGAAAACTTAAAAAAAATTTTTTTTAAATTTTTTATTGTAAAGTCAGATATACAGAGAGGAGGAGAGACAGAAAGGAAGATCTTCCATCCATTGATTCACTCCCCAAGTGTTCTCAATGGCCGGGTCTGTGCAGATCTGAAGCCAGGAGCCCAGAGCCTCTTGCAGGTCTCCCACATTTGTGCAGGGTCCCAAGGCTTTGGACTATCCTCGACCGCTTTCCCAGGCTGCAAGCATGGAACTGAATGGGAAGTGGGGTCGCTGGGCCCATATGGGATCCCGGGGCATGCAAGGCGAGGACTGTAACTGCTAGGCTATCATGCTGGGCCCATATTTAAAATATTTTTTTTATGTACATAAAGTTTATTCCAACTATGAAATTGCAGTTTTATGATTGTAGAATTCCATGAACACTTTATAGTAATTCCCCATCTGCTGCTAGTTAAACAAAATAAGGAAAACTTTACATACTGACTTTTGTGTGCAATTCTACCTACTTTGCATAAGTGATAGAATAAAGTTAAACCACATTAACATTTACCCTTTATTGTCTGTTACTTGATAATATAACATAAATAAGGAGAAAATATTTGTAAATCATATCTAACTAGAACCTTGCTTGTATATGGAATATATAAGGAATTCTTAACTGCCCAACAATAAAAGAACAGTTAACCCAATTTAAAGGAACTAAGAATTTAAATAGATGTTTGTCCATAAAAGATGTACAAATTGACATAAGTACATGAAGATATGCATACAATCATTAGTCATTAGAAAAAACATACTCTTTACTACCAACTAGAATAGTAAAATTAGAAAGGTAGATGTCTATTTGGAATCTTCATACATTATAGTGGGACATATTTTAAAGATTTATTTGAAAGGCAGATTTTTACATAGAGAGAGTGTGAGTCAGTCTTCCATCCTCTGGTTCACCCCCAGATGACCTCAACAGCCAGAGCTGAACTGAGCTTGATCCGAAGGTGGGGCTAGGAGCTTCTCAGTCTCCCATGGGGATGTAGGGAACTAAGGCTTTGGGCCATCCTCTACTGTTTTCCCAGGCCATAAGCAAGGAGCTGGATTGGAAGTGGAGCAGCCTGGACATGAACCAGCACCCATTTGGGATACTAGTGCTACAGGATTAGCCTACCTATGCCACTGTGCCAGCCCTGGCACTTTTTTTTTCCCCTAAGACTTATTTTTATTTGAAAGGCATATTTACAGAGGGAATCACACACACACACAGAGTTCCATCTGTTGGCTCACTCACAAATGAATGCTATCGCTGGAGCTGAGGCAATCCAAAACCTAGAGCCAGGAGCTTCTCCCAGGTCTCCCACATGTATGCAGGATTCCAAGGCTTTGGGCCATCCTCCACTGCCTTCCCAGGTCGTAAGCAGGGAGCAGGGAGCTGGATAGGGAGTGGAGCAGCTGGGATACAAGCCAGCACCTATGTGGGATGCTGGCACCACAGGGGTAGAATTAGTTGGCTACGCCACTGTGCTGGCACTAGTGGGACTTCTAAATGGTGAATCTGCTTTATAAAGTAGCAGAGAAGTTCCTTAAAAGCTAAAACTTGGAGTTATAATACAGCCTAGAACTTCACTCTTAGGTATTTTTAACCAAAGAAATGAAAATATATGTAGATATCCACAGCAGCTGTCATAAAAGCCAAAAAATTGATGCAGCCCATTGTCCATCTCCTGATAAATGAATAAATAGTATCTAGCTTAGCCATGTCATAAAATGTTATTCAGTAATAAACAGGAATGAAATATTGATATAGACTGTAATAAGGATGAGCCATGAAAAAAATATGCTAAATGAAGGCAAGTCACACAAAACTGCTTTTTTTTTATGATTCCATTCATATGATGGATCTGTAATATATACGTTTATAAAGGCAGAAAGCCTATTACTAACTACTTAAAGCTGGGAGTTCTGAAGAGAAAAGTGTGTGTGCTGTTCTGACATAGTTCCTAATAGAGCTCCCTTTTACTCTGAGAAATGCCCCGGCGTGGTTAGTCACCCTCAGTATTGGCGCAAGTCCAGATATTATATAGCTTGTGGCAAAGCTGGGTGAGATTGTGACTGAGGGTACATGGAATCCACAAGCTGTCTCTGGAATTTTACCAATTTATACTGCAGAGTTTGTAGTAACTTGGCCAAGCTCTGCTGAGAATTTCAGTGTTTGATAAAATTAAGGCTTTAATTCCCCCATTGATTATTGTTCCTCACTTGGCTTTTGCTGCTTCTCCAAACCCTTTGTATTTCACGGAAGCCCTCTCTCCAGACTTTGGCTAGGCTGCCATTGTGCAGTCTTGCTGCTAGAGCCGCTTTGCCCTGGGAACCCTGGCCAGATGTTCTGCCTCTAAGTCCAGTGTGTTGCCCTTGTGTGTGAAACCTTGAGAACTTGTTCAGAGTGCACAGGAGTTAGGCTGAAGCCATCTCTCTGCCTGAACAACCCAAGCTTTTATTTTTATGTTGTTTCTGCCCTCTGTGAACATCTCCTGCTAGTGTTCAGTGGTGGGATTTTGCATGTGGTGTATTTACTATGAATGTTTCTTCATTTCTTCTAATATTACCCGCCCATTTTTACCTCTGTCCCCAGATTTTGGACTTCATGAAGAGAAGTCATTCCCACTTTCCAACATCTTGTCTCCCAGGCCTCTATTTAAATCATCTTCCAGGTTAAGTGGCATATTGTAAAACTTAAAGAGAACTCCTATTCACTTTTCTTACTTCTGAAGTACACGAAGTGGCTGGTTGGTGACCCGGGGTAGGAGCTAAGAGCTGAGAAACTCCATCCAGGTTTGCCACATGGATGGCAAGAACCCAATCCTTTGAACCGTCACTGCCACCTCCCAGCGCCTGCAGTGGCAGAAAGCTAGCGTCAGGGACTGGAGCCAGGCTTTGAGCGGAGGCACTCTCTTCTGAGACGTAGGCATCTTTAATTACCATCGTAACTGCTAGGCCAGGTATTTGTACTGCAGTTTTGTTGTAACCTAAATATGTTCATGGGAACTGGAGGAATGTAGCAGCATGTTAAATGACTTTCATGTTGTCCTAGAGTTTTTGAGAGTAGCTTCATAGACAAAAATAGTAATAGTAATAATAGATAGCTAGTATAACAAGCACCCTCTCTTTCACTTAGAAATAGTCTGTGTAGAATTTGTGAAACAGAAGATCAAAACAGGTCAAAGATGTGTCAGCATCCCTCATCCCCAGTGTGTTTGAAAAAAAGGTTGAGAATGTACTGAGAGTGTGAAAACATCAATAATGTTTATGTCTGTGGTAGGAATTATCAATGTCATGTGCGAGGATTCCTCTCCCTCGCCTCGACAGGAGAGAGTAAACTCCAACAGAACTTTGGAAGTTTTCAGGATATATCCTCTGGAACTCAAAACTGAGTCAGAATAAAGAGGAATCTTGCTATTCCTTCAGAGATCACTCAGTAAAAGATTTGCACAAAATACATATAAAGCAGATGTGGATTCCATAGAATGGGAACAATTATGGATCATCTTGAAATAATCATGCTCAGGTAAGGTCATCCCAATCCAAAGCGGCTGAATGTTCTGTGTTCGGATCCAGAAGCTGAGGAGTTCAGCAGCAGTGGAGAGAGTGGCAGTGATCGGGGAGTCTCCAAGGGAGCCTTCAGTTTGGAGTTAGCACTTGTCTGTCACACCTGTGGCACCAATGGCAGGACCCATCAATCAAGACCAAAACCTTCCCTGTCTTTTCTGAAACTCCCTCAGACCCAGTGGAGCCTGAAGAGTGACTACCAAAGAAAGCAACTATGAAATCAACCTGAAAGTTGACTCAGAAACAGAAAAAGACTATTTTGACAGAATGAGTTTACAGGGAAATATGAAAGAATAAATTTTGTTTTTGTTTTCAGAGGTCAATGGTTTTGTTAAACAGTAACAGAAAATGAGAAAATGTTCCTCTTACATTTGCTTTTCAGCTCCATTGTCTTTATGGGAAATCACCTCAGAAATCCCTTTTAGATACTCAAGGGTTATGCTTTCAGTGTCCTTTCTCAAAAACTTGAAGTGGTCTCATTCATAGATATACAAAAAGAGAAAAAGATATTAATATCCAGAGCCATCGAATTTTTTTTAAAAGCCCTTGACATTTTTATTATAGGAACCCTAGGAAATAGGATTACTTGCTCTCTTTTGCATAAATGAGGTAAGTAAAAAAGATTCAAATAAGCATGTAGCTTTCCTAAGAGTGTGGTCCTGGAATTAGGGTTTAAACTCTGGTCTGTCTGTAAACACTATGCCTTGTGGTCCACACCGAATGTTTAATACAACTAATTGTATCACTATATTGTCTTTTTTACTAGCCTATTTTTTTGCATGGGTATGATAATGTTTTTTATAGCCAATTGGATTGTTTCTACAGGACAATTAATTGCATATAAATATTTTAAGTATTATTTGAAGATTCTTGGAAGTAACTAAAAGAAAATGACACCTATTCATTCTTTTTATAGAGGGATGGTCTCAGCACACCAAAATGTTTCTTCAAAATCAAAGAATACTTCAAATGTGAAGTCAGGTAATAAACAATTAAACTCATTATTCTTATTATTTACTTTTGCCACAATGCAGTGTGTATTAGCAAAATTGGTAACCTGGGAAACCAAGTGCTTTTTTTCTTGATTGTAATGAAAAGGTGAAGATACGTAGGATTAGAAAAATGGGTCTTAACTATCCCGTCAGGACCCATCATTCATTCGTGTAACTAAATAGGTACTCTATCCTAGCCATTGTTTTGTGTTCCAGTGGAAAGGATACACTTCCCCTACCCTGTGGATTTCTGTTTTTAGAGGAAAAGAAAAGTGAGCAGATATATAATTATATATATTATACATATAATTGAAAAACAATGGAATGATCAAAGTGTCTCACATTATTGATACTCTATTAATTACTTATTAGAATAGGCTTAGCAAGAGATTTATATTCTCATTAACCTTTACTATATCTCAGATTCTACCTTATTTCCTGCAAAAGTGTTTTGGCATTTGTTTGGAAATACATGTAAAGTACTACTGATTTTCTTCTTGATGCTTATAAATGCTTATATATACTAAAATATGTATTTAGTTACATAATTAACACTTTAAGAAATTGTCTTAAAGAGGATTTCCTAACTGCCAGATATTATGTTACCAACAGTGAATCTAAAAATGATAAAGATAATTTTGATAATTGAGATTAGTAACAGGAATAACTAACCTTGTGGAAGTATAAGTTCTTGGAAGAAGTGGTACCTTCTACCCTAAGGAATTATTTCTAGATCAAAGAGAAATGAAACATGTGACAAGAAAAGAGGTATTGAAAAGTGGTGTGTCTGGCGTGATAGCCTAGTGACTAAATTCTCACTTTGCATCCACCGGGATTCCATGTGGGTGCCAATTTGTATCCCGGTTGCTTCACTTCCCATCTAGCTCCCTGCTTGTGGCCTGGGAAAGCAGTAGAGGACAGCCCAAAGTCTTGGGACTCTGACCTCACATGGGAAACCTGGCAAGAAGCTCATGGCTCCTGGCTTCAGAAATGCTTAGCTCTGGCCACTGCAGCCACTTGGGGAGTGAACCAGCAGATGGAAGATCATTTTCTCTGTATCTCCTTCTCTCTGTATATCTGTCTTTCAAAAAGGATAGAATGGAATGGAATGGAATAGAATAGAAGAATAGAATAAAAATATAAAATAAAATAATATAAAAATCTTTTAAAAAGGAAAGTGGTAGAGGCACCAAAAGCCCTCTTGTTTTTAACCTTTCTTTCTCAAGGAAAACTTATGTGTTGGGTGTAGAACATGTTATTTATAAGGCATGAATGAAGGGCAGAAGAGTGATACTGAAATCACGTGTGCTTTGTGTTTTTACTTGTATTTATTGACTAACTTTAATCACATCTTGTTTAGAGATGTGCTTACCACATTCTTTAGCAGTTACAACTGGGTTTTAGTTGTGTACCAGAATTTTTACTAAATCTTAAGAAATCAAGAGATGATTGCATTCCTGGCTTCAATGATATTATTGCTAGTAAGAGATAAATAGGAAACTTTCTCAAACAAGTGTTGCTGGGGCTCCTTTACAACCATATCTGCTGCTACTAGCCAGGGCATGTTAAGTAAAAGGAACATACAAAAGGGCCTTGAGTGGAAATGTTCTTGGCATATTTGAAAAAGATAAGTGTGGCTGAGCAGGATGAGTAGCTAGATAAATGGTTGAAACTGTGATTAGAGTCTAGTCAGATAATACAATGCAGATTCTTATCTGCCATAATAACAGCCAAGAATGTTATTCTGAATGTGCTCAGAGCTATGCTTTAGAGTATCTTAAAGCAGAAGAATGACATGATCACGTACATATTTAAATGTAAAATGTTTGTATTTTATTTCATTTTTGTTAAGTTTAAGTAGCCTGATGGTGTTGGTGGCTACCAGCTTGGACAACACTATTTCAAAGGATTAATGTATGAAGTAGTGAGATGTAAAAGTAAGTGTGTGTGAAGCACTGTCTTCCACCTCTCCTGTCTAGTGAGTCCAGGGAAAAAAAACCACAGGCTATACTAATTCCAAGCTTTAGAAAGATTGTGGGTTCTGTGTTTCTCTGTCCAAGGATCTATGATCATAATATGCTAAGCAGGTTATTATTCTATGTTCTAAAGACTTAGAACTACTCTGGTTATGAGAGAATAAGAGTAGAAGTAAGGAGAATTTGTTAAGCCATTTGAGTATGGTTTTAAACTAAGATGGTAACAGTGATCTGATTTGAGACATATATTAAAGGTATATGTGCCAAAATTTTCTGACTAGGTAACAGAGAAATGGAAGTAATGGATGATGAATATTAAATTTTTAATGTCAAAGTTAAATGACTGATGGTGTCTGTAAGACAAAGAAAATTGAAATAATTATTAAGAGCATTTGGCTTGGATATATTTAATGTACCAGTTCACATAATGTTGCATGAAAGAATACAGATACAAACAGCATATCTTTTTTTAAAAATTTCATTTCATTTTATGACACAGTTTCACAGGCTCTGGGATTCCCCCCAACTCCTCTACATGCCCTCCCCCCATGATGGATTCCTCCACATTGTTGCAATATTACAGTTCAAATCCAGTCATGATTGCTTCATTACAAGCATGTACCATGCACAGAGTTCAGCATCTTATTGCACAGATAAATTCAACAGTTTCTTGGGGAGACCATCTCTGGTCTGAAGGCAGAGCTGGCAGAATATCATCCTGTCCAATAAAAAGCCACAGCATAACATCAACAACAATATACAACATTATGGAGTTAATTGACATGGTATTGAGTGACCAATATGTTAGAAAATGCAAGTTCTTAACCACATCCTGTGACTATTTCATTGACATTTCAATTTTAGTTTATACACAGAACCAGCTGCTATACACCTTAAAATGGCTATAGGGTACTATTCAGCTGTCTCGTATCTATTTTTATTTTTATATTTAGCAGTTTATAATATTGAAGCATAATTTTTACTGAACTTGGCGAATTTTAGGATAGTCCAAACTGGCTTATAACTCTAACAAGGCATATGTCAACAACTGAGGCACAGAACAGTTTTAGGAGGGATGTAGCAGAGAAATCTTCAATACCTTAGTGAGGAGTAATTAATATTTGTGTACTATCTAGTAAGGTACATGTGAGTCCACGCTGACCATTTCCTGTCTGGTTCTAAGCCTAACTTATTGGTCTCTGACTGTCTAATCAAATAATTTGGGGGGGTGTGTGACTCTGGAGCAACCCTGATGGTCATTGCAAGAGAGGGTGGGGATCTAAAGTTGGAACTAAGTAAGGACCAGAGAGAGCTCCCCTCCCAAGTCCTGAAGGAAGTTTACTGTTCTGTTTCTGAGGTCCGCTCAGGGCTAGCATAACTTATATAATTCTGGATGATGGAGGTCAGAATTAAAATCTTTGGAAAAGGAGATCCCAGCTAGGAAGAATGCCTGGAAACCTTCTCAGGAGTACTGGCAATGTTTTATATCTTAATCTGAGTGGTGGTTATATTGATGAATACATATATACATAATATTTGGTGACCATTGCTGTATTCATGGTGTGATTCAAAAAAACACTTAAAAATTGAGAGACTTACTCTCTTTCAAGTGGACATGCTATGAAGGCAGCTTGTGATGCAAGATTTTGTAGTTCAGAGCAGAATCTCTTGTTGTAGAGATATAGCTGTGTGTAGTGTGGCCGCCTGGGGAGTGAATCATTGGACAGAAGATCTTCCTCTCTGTCTCTCCTCCTCTCTCTGTATATCTGCCTTTCCAATAAAAATTAAAAAATAAATCTTAAAAAAAGAATATGGATGTTTCAAGCCATGGGATTATATGAAATCATGTGTGAAACAAATAAAAAGGAGATGTGCAAAAAGGATATAAGTATCCTGTAGTATAGTATAGTATAAGATAGCATATTATAGTATAGTTCTTCATAAACAGTCTTATGTCCATCATTACAGGCATGGAAAAAGGCAGAGTCCAGTATCCTAATGTCAAGATATAGTAAACAGTTTCATTGCGAGTCCGTCTTTAGTCTGGAAGTAGAGATGCATACTATCCTCACATCTGGATATCATAGCCTCCATTACACAGTTACTATACATCCCCTTAAATGAAAGCCACAAAACAAAATCAACAACAGGAAGAAAAAAGAAATTAACAACACCATGAAGTTAAATAACATACAGCAGAAACTATATCTCATGGATTTTGATTTTTTTCATTAGTTTCAACTCTTCAAAACACTTTCTTCTCATTGATTCTTCAGTAACTCATAGATTATACAGTAGCATCATTTTCTTCAAGAAGTTTCTTGATATTTTTTATTATTTTCTTTTTATTTGAAATGCACAGAAATTGAAACTAGAAGGTCCCACACTCACCAAATGCTTACAATGGCTGAAGACAGAAGCCGAGAGCCGGAAATACAATCCTGCTAACCCAGTTCTATCTGGCAGGAACCCAGACACTTAAATCATCCATCAAAATCTATCAGTTCAGCCTCTCAGTCTGTGAGAGCAGGAAAATGGAGCTAGAAGTTGAACATAGGCAGTTGGATGGAGGGTGTGAGCATCCTAACATCTTAACCAACAGACCACATGTGCCCTCCTCCTGTTACTTCTTGATGTGATCCACTGCCAAATCTTGTTACCAATTTTATTTCCTTCAAAATTCTCAAACTCACTTCTTTTTACATTAAGAGATGAATGTGACAAATAAAGATACAGGATATTCAGTTAAATTTGGATTCACATAAATAGCAAGTAATGTTAATGTAACCATGTCTCAAATATTATATATGGTTTATTACATAGCATACTTTCTATTGGAAATTCAAAATTAACTGGTCTTTCTGTAGGTTATTTAGTCATACCTATTAACCTATACAATGAGGTTGAGAAATACACAGATCTTAGAAAGGACATTATATGCCAGATTATGGAGCTTAAGGTTTGCTACAATTTTGTAACAATTTTTAGCAGTTTTCCCTATTTGCTTCATGTC